ACTTCCCCTTTTTCCCGTGGGTGCTTGACCCCCTCCTCTGCCCCCGGACCCGCCCCCACTCCACCCCTTCCATAAGGCCCCGCCCCTGCCCTAACTCTTCCCACCTCTTCCCTCCCCATTCCAACCCCGTCCCCAAAGTCCCCACCCCAACTCCGCCCCCTCCCTGCCAATATTCCAACTCCTTTCTCAAATCCCCGCCCCGGCCCCGACCTCTTCCCCACCTCTTCCCCTGAGCATGCCACATTCCCGCTCCTCCCCCCCCTTTCCGGAGCGTGCTAACAATGCCAAACAGCTGTTTGGTGGCGGCCAAGTGGGAAACGCTGGGAGGTAGGCGGAGGAGTGGGGACGCGGCGTGCTCAGGTGGGAGGAGGAGGTGGGGCAAGAGGGGAGGGGATCTTGGCTGCCGGTGGGTGCAGAGCACCCACTAATTTTTCCCCATGGGTGCTCCAGCCTTAGAGCACCCACGGAGTCGGCACCTATGTTTCCTGAACCTCTGCTCTCACCTGACAGGCTGCAGTGTATGTGACTGTTGAAAGAGGCATATGAATTGCCCCTGATGGTCAAAGATATAGCTAGCTCCTAGCTTCTTAGCAAGTGCATCAATAATCCTCTTTGGCTATTTTAAATCAGTTTGTGACAGACCAGGCTTCTAACACTAGAAGAGGAGCTATGGTTGATGCCTTAAGCTAGAGCTGGCCAAAATATGTTTTGAGGCTCACCAGATGTTGGGAGTGTGGCCTACAGGGTGCTAGCAGAACAGCAGTGCTTGTAGCAGCATGTTTATTTTTCCTTCTATCTTGCCTCTTTGGCATGCAAGTGATTCATGCAGAAATATCTCAGTAGTATTCAGTGTCTCCAGTCAGTTGAAGCAGGTGCTATACTGAGTCCAGATGCCACACATCCTCCTCCTCCAGTTCAGGCAACTCTGCGTCAGCTGACTCTGTTAGTATGGTTCAGTAGTGAATCACATAGCTGGGACAGAGGGAGAAAAGGAGTGTGTGTGTGTGTGTGTGTGTGTGTGTGTGTGTGTGTAAAAGAAAGAAACAGGACAGACAATCTAATCGTTGCCTACTGAACACTTTTCCCATACACCTCCCTCAGCACTACCACCACAGTGAGAAATTGCAAGAATAATAGTGGCAATCTAAATAAACTTTTCCATTTTATGCCAGGGACCACCCCACAGCTGCTCCATGCTTGAGAGCTGCACTTACTAACCCCATCCTGAACTTTGCTTAGGGCTCCTCGGCAATTGCTCAGGATGTAGGCCCAGAATTTCAATACACTCCTATTTAGAGATCTTGGCTCTGCTGCCTCTTTAATAAAGCCGGCTTTAACATTTTATCTTGAAATCTTGATCCTGTTGCATTTATAATACTTTATCTATGTGTGCAAGAAATATTTTTCTTCTGTTAATCAATTTAACTACAAATTCTAAACATTACTTTAAAAATAACCACAACACAGACATTTCTCAGTGCGGGCTTCTACCCACACAATGGACATGTTTTATTCATTTACCCAAGAATATCCAAAATTATTCTGATCTCTTGGTGTGGTTACTTCTATTAAAAAAAAACAACAACAACACTCTATTACTTGTTCTTTTGAGGTAACATTATTATAAAGTGCCTTAATAAACATATTATAAAACTTAACATATAATGCAAATAGCATGAGGAAATAACAGGGAATTTTTTCCTGCACTTCATTGAGGAATCAGAATTGATAGTACGTTTAGGTGACAGGTGTAATGTTGGTTATCCTCAATCCTCTAGTAAAGGGGGTTATTTTAATTTTAAAGTGATTTCAGCATAGCATGATGGGCAGTTAGTCAATGCAAGCCCTCACCAGTGTCCCTCTGCTTTGGCCGCAGTGGGTTTCAATCACCTAGGTTCTTAGCTGCTTACGTAGTGCCTCTACCTGACTCTTTGAGGTAGGTGGGAACCTACCTTACCTCCCTATGTTGTTTCAGCTATCCCTGACCCAGTATTTATCCATATGACTAGCCTGATACTCGTATATATACTCTTCTGACACTTCTGTAACGGATGAAAGCAACAGTCAAGGTCCTCTTTATTTACAATGGGGAAATACAAAGAAAGCCTATAAAGGGTAGAGGAAGATTGATTTGGAATAGGGTGACCATATGTCCCGATTTTATAGGGACAGTCCCGATTTTGGATCTTTTTTCTTATATAGGCTCCTATTACCCCCCACCCCCTGTCCCGATTTTTCACACTTGCTGTCTGGTCACCAGAATTTGGAATGGGTACATCAGTAACACCATACAACCTGCCAATAACACTACCCTCAGGGTGGATTTCTTTGCATTCACAAATGCAGTTTATTCCATACTAGTGGGCTCCATAATACAGAGGAACTGACATAGCTTGATAAGTTCTTGCAGACTTGAAGGCTCTTGAGTGAAGTGAGGTGCTAGCGGGCTAACCTTTCTACAGCAGCATTAGACATGTCGTATGGGGGCCTCTTCTGTGTGTCTAAATTCAGTTGCTCTCTCCCGGAATAGTTCAGCAAATATCTTTCAGGGCAAAATAGGCAACCCCTCAGACGAAGAGAGGTGGACGGGGGGATCGCCCATGTGCCGTTCAGGCAGAGATGCCCTCATTCCATCCCCCCTCCAATTGGCTTAGTCAGCCTTCCATCTCCCATCTCCCAGGGTTTGCCCAATCACAAGGGACACGACCATCCCACTTTCTTGGCTTGGTGAGCACACTGGAGTCTTTCCCATCTCTCATCCACTCAGAAAAAAGATGGGCTCCCTTTTTTGTCAGACTCGTTACCCTGGGTTACATAATTATAAGATTATTTTAAATAGATTCATACATTCCAAGGTCAGGAGGGACCATTGTGATCATCTAGTTTGACCTCCCGTATAACACAGACCATAGAGCATCCCCACAATAATACCTAGAACATTTTTTTTAATAAACATACAACCTGATCTACCACAACTCTTGGTAAGTTGTCCCAATGGTTATTTGCTCTCACAGTTAACAATTTACACCTTATAAGTAATATATATGTTGTTAGGAAGTCAGCAACTTCACTCTTCAGCTCCCTCTAAACTCTCAGATGAATACTGTGCAATTCTGGTTATTGCAGTTTAAGGCCCTGTTCTTGGAGATAATCAATTAATATATCAAACTTCCTTTTGCTGTGCTGGTCTAAGACTTCAGTGTGGCTTGGGTGTTTAAAGGTAAGCATGCATCAAAGTGGTTACAGCATCTGGGCCCATATTTTCAGTTTGTTTCAATGACTCCTTGTCTGACAACATAATTTGTCAGTGTATTAATTTGCAGTGGGGTAAACATCACTCTAGTCTTCCCAGTTATGATGACTAATGTAAAAAACCCATTTAAGATTCTATACAGTATCCTTATCCCCTTAAGGTGTTCCCCTTACCCACCAGTAATCTATCAGTCTTTCTACTTCCATATACCTAAATGAATTTAATATATTCTGTTCAAATAACCCCGTTGTACTAATTTATTTTTATCTCTTAGCTACCGTAGTTTTTCTTTTCTTTCTACCTTCCTCAATAGGTCCCTTTTTAGCCAGCACTTTTCAAAAGCTGCAAAAACGTATTCACTGAATAAATTATTTAGAAAATCCGAAAAATATACCGAATAATGGACCTGTTTTTTATTGTTCTGCACCTCATGTAGTCACTTACATGTGTACACTATGGTAGCACTTTGCATTCACTTTGCATGAGTGTAAAGGCTTTATCCAAAGTCCACTGAAGTCAATGGGAATCTTTTATGAGCTTCAGATCAGGCCCTAAATGTCAAGAGGTGCTAAGCCATAGAGAATTGGGCTCAATGTATTAAACAAATAATATATAGGTAGCTTGGTTTCTTTCTTGTTTCCTTTTTTAGTGTGATTAATTATTTGTAGGCTTTGTCATATTGTTCATCTCTAATTCAACCAAAGGTTGTCATAATTTAATGTTATTACCATAACTTGTGCTAACCGTGCTTCTGCACATAATCAATGTCATGGAATTGGGGCAATTTAAGAATGTTCAAAACATGAGGCTAATATGGCATTTTGACAAATACTACTATTGATCTAATTTGTGAATTTAAACATTTTTCCAGATAAGCCTGATGTTGATAATATTCCTGAGTAATCCTCTAAATGGAAATATGCTGAATACTACATAACAGATGTCTGCTACATATCAAACCATGACTTGCTTCAATTTTCTTCACTCTTTGGTTGAACAGAGTTGTCCTTAAATCTTCTGATGGCTGTTCTAAGTTATAGTACAGTTATAAGTTCCTTTTACTTATCATTTTACAGTTTGAAGCATGCAACATGTTCATGTCCTTTGAAATAAATATCTGTTGTGAAGGCTAAGGTATTCTAAATAGTACTGTAAACTGTAGACAGATCTTTCCAAGTCGCCCTTTCATACAGGATTTTTTTTTTTTTTTTTTAGGAAATATAAATGAGATGCCATTTATCTAGCACTATTAACTCTTTCTGGTAACAGTAGCAAGTAAACAGCCTACTTTCTCCTGTGGGGGGGTGGGAGAGAATGAATTGTGAGTTGCTTTGTGAGCTTCTTAGGAGACATGGTACAAGTACACCTAAACTAGCATTAAGTGCTCAAACTCTCTCTCTCTGACATGCATAGCAGCCTGAGAATATCAAAACCTTATACTCCCTCCTGCATAAACAAGTTTAGAAGGCGAGAACTTAAAACCCTTGCTTTTTTGCCAGTTTTCTCTCTTCCTTTTCTGGTCTGAGTCAATGGTGGTGCACAAGTGGAAGTGAGCAGGAGCTGGGAAAAGAGCGGAGATTGAAGATACTTGGAAAACCCAGCCAAATCTTGCATTTCTTCCAGACATATCAACAGATACCTCTCTTACCAAGTGACTCTAAACACTAGTATCTCTAAGAGTAGCAACTCTGTTCAGAACCACAGTCACATCCTGATTTCTTTTTCTTTTTTTTTTTTTTTTTTTTAGGATATACTTCCCTGTAATGGAAAGGAAGCTTCATATGTACAGCAACTGAATCAGGACTCCTCCCCATGCTGTCTGGCTCTCACCTAATTCTTGTTTGCCACATACAGACTTCATGAAAAGGGGGCTTTCTCCTTCATGGCCCCGCTTCCCTACTTCCATGTGATTAAAATGGTTTTTGTCTAGAGCTTGTTGAGAATTATTAACTAAGCATTGTTAGATATTGGAAAATGTTTGTTCATCAACTGAAGCTTTGCATGGGAATGAACTATTTTAAAGATAACTTTTGTTGAGAAGGCTTCTTGGGTCCAAAATGGAATACAGAGAGAATGATCACCTACCCCTTCTCTCTCTTCATCCCAGAATAACCAATATCCCAGTCGTCAGGGCACTCACCTGCCCTGGGGAAGAACCAGGTTCAAGTCCTTGTTCTGAAGGGGGAAGAGCGGAGACTCAAGCCCAAGTGTCTCAGATACTAGATGAGGGCCTTGACCATGAGGCTATTCTGGGTGGATCTCTTTAAAAAATGCAAATGTTCATCCTGATGCACAATGGGAAATTATTTGAAATCTCCAATTTTAATGGGATGGGAAAACTGTCCCTGCCCAGCTCTAGTTTTGTGCCTCTCTATGCTGCAGAGAAGACAAAAGCAAACAGGTCTAAATGTAAATTCCGGGAAAAGCCTCCTTTTAATATGGCTCCTGATAACACTGTTCCAATTAGTCCTTTGTTTGCAAAGGGGAACCAAACAAGGAATACATTAAATAGTTAGGGACTTGAGTAAATGTAACCATTCAGGCAAGCTGGTATGTCTCATCATTGTTCATGATGATAGCATATATTGACACACTATTATGTTGCCAGCTCATATTAGTGCATGCTAGTAGAATGGTGATGCTGTCATTTTCTTAAGCTGCCCTGTTTTTGCTATGGCATGACATTACATGCTTGTTTTAAAACAGACATCTGCTCTTTGGGCTTATAACCACATTAGAGAATGCCAACATCGTACTGTAGTGAGGAAAAGCCAAAATTTGCTATTTACCCCAAATATAGAGCTAAATTGTATGAAAATATGTCTCAAATTCTTATTTTTTCAGAAATAGCTTTTTTATACATAAATTATAAAAATAAGCAAAAAAATTATTTAAATGTATAAAAGCCACTCTAATTTGCTATGTTTCTTCAAAACAGGCTGATTTTTTATTAATGCACATTATAACAAAAATAATATTCAGATTGTATTATACAGCAGTTTTAGTTTATTAAGTTGAGTCCATATAACGCCCATGCATCACAGCTACTGCCTAGTTCTTAATGTTAAATTCAATATCTTATGGCATTGACTTCCAGGAAATGAAGATAAATATGAATCATATTTCTAATTATCCTGAAGCTTAATTTTGGAGCACTTCAAAGGAAACATAAATCAGGCATTGCTACAACACTTGTAAAATGTACTGAAATTATCAGTTGACAATATTGTATGAGAATGGGGGTCATTATCTTTCTAACCTGGGACTTCTAGAATATATTCCCTGCTGATTTTGTGGGCAAAAAGATGAGAAGAGGTCCCAAAGTGAACTGTAGTCAAGGTACAGTATTTAATCATTCTGTAGAAAATAAGCAGGGTAGAGTTTTTGGTTTTGGTTTTTAAAGAGACAGTCAGTATAATATTCTCTACATTTGCAACAAAGAAGAGTTTGAATAACTGTTAGAACTGATTGAAGAATGCTGTGTTTAAAAAAAAATAACAGGAAACAAATTTCTGACAAGATTTAGTGGCCTGCTCTGATTTGTGCAATTGTATTCAGCAGCCATGAGTACTTGGCTGAAACTTCACACCAGAAGTGCACTGTCCATCATAATTCTCCAGTGAGAGAGCAGAAACAATCATGTGATTTGGTGACTAGCCAAACAAGATGAACAGCAAATAGTCTTGCAAGATATGAATGAAATTATACAGAACTTTGCCTTTGGAGTTTTTACTGATAAGATGCAGGACTTTGGTGTAGCCCATTATTAGAGCCGATCAGAAATTTTTCAACTAAATTAAATTTGTTGGAAAATACTGACCTGTCAAAATGGAAACTTTTTTTGCAGAAATCTATCTGTTTTGATTAAAGTTTTGTGAGGACGGTTTCTCAAGATGGAACTTTAACAAGACCCCAGCACAGCCAATAGCCCACTGGTCAGGGTACTCAACTGGGATGTCAGAGTCCCAGGTTCAAGATTCTGCTCTGAATTGGGCAGAGCAGGGACTTGAACCTAGGGCTGTCAGCATCCTAAGCGAGGGCCCTAAACCCCCGGAGATTCTGGGGTGGGCAACTTTCATGTTTGCCATGAAAAAAAAAATCCAAAAGTCTTGGTTTCGTTTGGCTGTGGAGAAAAAAAAAACTGAATTCTTGTTTTTCAGTCAGTCCTACCCATTATAGAGATTGGGGGGCAGAAATTAAATTTAAGTAAAGAGCCAGATCAAAACATTACCTAAGAGCAGGGATGTTCAGCTCTGGAGATCTGGTTTAGGTCCATCCACTGAGCTTGTTGGGAGAGCAGAATTCCTTCCTCTCAGGTGGACCAGCAGCAGTACTGCAACTGGCTGCTCTATATTCTTCAGAGGGAAGAATATCTTAGGGCGTGGTTCTCATTTCCACTCTGGGGATGGAACAGCAGCACTCAAATCAGCTGTTACTGTAGGAAATAGCAATGCTTCTGTCACCCAAATATGTGCAGGAGCATTTGTTACCTTTTGCTGGAATGGGAGATCATTCTCCAATGGAAATGAGATACGTTGTCAAATATACATAGAGTAGTGGGTATTTTAAATCCTTCAGATGGACTGAGATGTCTGTTCTTAATCCACCTTCTGGCAAGGTCAGTGTTATTAATTTGTGTTGATGCAGTCCAGCGATAGCTTCTGTGTAGTAGTGCCTGTTCATAATGCTGAGTTGACTAAATTAAAGTGCAGAATTTATTTCTCAGTAATGTTGAGACTGAGTTACTGTCAAGTGGGACAAGGTAGAGAGTAGGAGGCTGGCAACATGCCAACATTAAAGTAAGATGGTGTTAAAGTGAATTCTTCGCTTTCTGTTTTTGTTGCACGTGCTCACTGACAGCAGCAGAGAGGCCAAGCCTGCAAAAGTAGCTGCAGAAACAAGAAAAAAATGGAGCTAAAAACTGTAAACGGCTACAGTTTTCAACTAAACAGATCAGGAAAGCTTTGAAATATTAATAACAAGACTTTCAATGGTATCAAAATAAAAACTGAAAATAAGCAATAGCTATAAGATGACACACAATGGGAAATACAAGTAAAAGTCTGTGAAATGGAGAATGTGTTTGATTAAATTTAAACAGGCACAGCTTTAATAAGAGTGTATTGAATAAAGACCCTAGGTAAAGCCCACATAACATATCCCTCTGTTTATTTGTTAGGCCTCATCTCTTTCATAGATGTCATGGAGTCCATTATTTTTAAATGTTTGCATTTTTTGAGATACGTGTGTATGATATAATGTGCACTTGGACGGTAGCTTTCAGGAGACCCTAGTTAAAATTCTACCATCAAATTGAAATGAGGAGGGGCACCAGGATGACTTCCCCATGTCTGGTGGATTCAGCCCCTTTCAGGGACTGCTTAAATCATCCCTGGTAGCAGGGGCATGTGCAGGGATTTAAATGTGACTACTTTTGTGGGGGGCACTTTAAACACCACCACCCCCAGCCAATGCCCCCGGGTCCTGCTGCCTCTCCCACCCTCTTGGCTCCCACTGTCTCCCCGGGATCCCCATCCATCCTCCCCAGAGACCCACTGCCTCCCCTCCATTGTCCTGGGCTCCAAACACTTACTGGAGGCTGCAGGGGAGGAAGGGACTGGGATCAGCAGGCTTCCCAGGCCTCTTCTCACAGAATTCTGCTTCCAGCCCAGCTTCCCTGCTCTGGGCACCATGTAGTGGGGCTCAACAAAGCATTAGCTACAGTGCCTTTCCCAGGCACGTCTCTTCAGCTGCTCTCAACCGACTCCCATCCTGGGACAAAGGAGGGGAGGAGGGGATGGGGTGAGGGAATCCTTGGGCCAGGGCTGGGCAGAAGCTGCGGATGGTGCTGGAGATGAATATTGGGAGGTGGGGGGCATGCCCTTGCTTGTCCCCTTTGCGCACTCCCCTGCCTTGTAGAAATGTCCTGTCCCCAAGGATCATAAAAAAATACTCTACGATTAGAGCTTTTATTTGCCTTTAGAATTGCAAGACTGTATCAAACTATCACTGTTTGTCACAAATGTTTATGAGAGAGGATACTCTCCCAGCTTCTCTTCATCTCCCAAAGTCCCTTTCACCTAATCTCATTTACCATCAAACTTACATAAGTCAAATATTGTAATCAGTGTACATAATGTCTTTTCAGGTCTAGGGATATGAATGCTTCCAGCAGAATGTGCTTAATAATCTTGTTTCCTGTTACTTCTTTGCTTAGATGTCTGGTTATGAGAAGGCATACTTTGTTTATACTGGAAAATGAATGAATATATTCCTTAGCCCGTCCTCAATCTTCTCTCTGAGACTACATCCACACCCGTTGGATACAAGATTTAACACAGGAAAAGGTCAAAATTGTTGTGGAACCCCCTTTCAGTACCAGCACTCCACAGGGTGGGAGTGGTGGTGATTGAATCAGTTTAATCAGCACCCTCATTAAATCATCATTAAGCTCTGGTCTGCTTGCTCCCTTCAGCAACACAGAGGATCACACCAATGAGATCTCAGTAAGAGTTTTCATTCCTCCAGAGGTGAGGAGGCCCAATACATTAAAAAAAAAAAAAAAAAACATGTGGGGAGTGAGATTAGGTTTATAAAGGATGGCTCTGATTTGTGGTTATCAACATGCTGAAATCTGTCTCCTTTTACCTCAGCACAAATAAAGTTCTAGTTACTTAGAATAAATTAGGAAAATATATTCTGGGGATACACAGCTATCTTCTGCCAATACACTGACTTCTGAATCCAGCCTTTTTAACTACAGTACATGAAGCTGGGATTTATTGATCAGGATAGTTAATTCTAGGAAATTTCATTGTGCCTGATGATCACTCTGGCTAATTCAGCAGTTGGTATTGTATGATATCTGTGGGTGTTTAATTTGTCGCCTGGGGGAGTTACTCCTGCCTTGTGCAGCCACAGCAGCAGC